TTCCAATACATGTTCCATTACAACAGTAGTTTCCTCTGTTCACGAAAAAAAATCAATATCAAAAGTTCTTTTTGACAAAATGTACATTTGAAATTTATGTCAATCTAGAACTTTACCAAATAATCTAAAGTAAAGTTTTTATCAAGGATACTTTGAGCAATAGATAAGAAACTGCTTTCATTCAATAGTACAACGTTGTAATTTCTCTAGCAATTACTTATCATTTTGATTTTTCAGGGGACTGGTAAGTGGTTTTGGAACCCACGTTGAAAGGAAAAGGCATATCCTAACTCATACGAATTTTTGACAAAAATTCCATAAAAGGTTGGTTATCTCATTTTATAAGAATTCAAATACTAATGATGTTAATTTCAAAGGACAATGAAAGTTTTATATACTATTGAATTTGTAGATAATTCTAGTTAGCATATATATTATCTGAGCTACAAAAAAACAAAAGTGATTTAAATAGAATAACAAAAACGTCTTCGTCTTCTACATGTTAAATTTCTAGAGTTATATTTTGTTGAAAACTTATGAGTGGTTGTTACTATCCTCCAAGCTAGGGAAAATAAAGGTCTTATGTTTTAACCTTTTAACGTGGGATCCTAAGCAGATATCAAATTCAAGACAAAGTAGCAATCCATTTAATCTACTCATCATCTAAAATTTTTATTCATTTGGTAAGATATTCGTCGTTTATTATTAAAATAAACAGGAAACATATCTCTTGTGTTCAAACCCTGTATTTTTTTTGTTTACTTTATTTTTTATTGGTTTCTTTTTTCAGAAAAAGATCTTCATCATTATCTGCCTCGTAGTAGCTCTCATAATATTAATAATAATATTATCGGTAGTTTTATAAATTTTTTGGGACCACCAATGCCGTCATCTTGCGTTAACATACGCATTGCCAAAACAGGTGTGTAAGTTGGAAAAACAATCGAAATTTATAAGAGATGGGTTGTACTTTCACTCTATTTTTAATTTTCTGGGTAAGTGTATCTAGAGACAATGAAACTACCATTGAACTGTGATTCTTTTTCAAAGTATTTTATGAAAGTTTGTTATAGCATCACATCATCTTTGATAATTTTAATACTCATGTCATTGAAGTTATATATGTTGATTTGGTTTTAATATCATAGATACTGTCAAAATGTTAGTAGGCTTAAGAAAAAAGATATTGTGAAATAATTAAATACAGCTGATACAATTAATGATTTCAATTTGCATCAATGATTTATGAATCAGTGATGAATTGTATTCAACATAGTATTCATTTTTTTTGAATAATTGAACTTTAGAAAATCCACTAAATCCTTTGCTTTTTCAGTATCAAGAGAATTCAGAAAATGTAGCATATTTTTTTATTTTTGCATTCAAATATTCAACTATTAGTATAATAACTGTTCTACTGCTTAACTATTATTAAATAATTACTAACAATGCCAAAGACACGTTATGTTGATTTAGATGGTCAGATGTTTTTTGTATATATCTGCATATTGTTTATATATTATATTAAGACTACCCTTTTATTTATATTATTATTCTGTTATTTTTGTTAACTGCTTTGCACATATTATTTACATAAGTGTAATTTATAAATTATTAAACTTTTTTTTAAATTTTGTTTTTTTTTGCCGGCTTTCTATCGGTTTTTGTTATATAAACCACACATATACATACACAACATACATTAACAACACTTCTTTCTTCCACTTTATAGAAGAAGATTATGATCTTGATCTGCATATCAGTTCTGGTAGTATTCGTAGGAGGTGGAGCAATATATGAATTGTTATAAAATATTTCAGTAAGTATAACGAAAATATTATTTTTATTCAAAAATAATTTTTGGCTTCACAAAAATTTTTAAACAAATGAACTGGAATCTATTCCACTGTAGTAGAGCTGAAAACCCGTACTTTTTAATGACAAAAAAACATTGATCTTCTATAATGTGAGCCGTTGAATATGTTTTGGTTACACTATGAGAACAGTATAATAATATGATAATACTTCACTATGAAATATATATATTTATTCCATTTTTCAACATCGATA